TTCTTCCTAATATSCAATCTAAACCTATTTTTTCAGTTTRAAGYCATTGCCRCTTRTCCTRTCACTACATGCCCTTGTCAAAAGGGAGTGATGTGTTCACACAAGCTTAGAGGAGAAACTTAAATGATCTGCAGACCCTTTGGTCCTCAGTGGGAGCATTTTCAGGGATCAGAAAGGCTTTGGCTTTGTCCTTAACTTGCTTTGGTCTGTGATTTTTCTGTTTCTGGCTGTGTGTATCTGCAGATGGTATGGCAGATCTTGAAAACTTCCAACACTCCACTTGCTTGGCATTCCTCCTTTTCTCCTGTGCATCACCTTATCAGTGGTGTTGTAGCCCTTGTAAACCAAATTACCACCCTCAATTCCTTTGAAAACTGTAAATTGCCACTGATGCAACCCTCACTTCCTGCTGCTCCATGCCAATGCTGGGGCAGCTTTGCATAGGGAGTCSTAGTCATCTGTTACTCAAACAGGTGATGCAAATAACTTTTCTTTAGAAGTGTGGTAAAAGAGAAAACCAAACAGCATTGCTGATTCATTTTCGGGTCAGCTCTGCTTGGCCTGTTTGGATGCTCTGGGAAATGTGTCCCCTTGACCGCTGAGCTCCTGCCCCTCCCTCCTTGTCACCCTACAGCTGAGATGGGCTCAGCTCCCTTGGYTAGGTGATGAGTGGGTRAAGCAGACCAGTGCTTTGGAAAGTSCTGTGATCAGCCCTAATGCTTGGCAGAGCATGGAACTTCTTAACCTGCTTTGGTGCAAATATCCAGGAGAGCATTTGGGCACAGCATCCCTGTCCCACACTGCTGCTCCTTATCCCAGACTGCTCCACAGGATCAGTGCTTCAGCTAATGGGGCTCTGCAGAAATGCTTGCCTGCTCCTACAAACCACTACACCATGTATGTACAGCACTAAATCACTTGCTCACCTGCATAGTGGCTCTAATGGGGAAGCTTAATCTTAATTTACTACCAGGGMACCAGGTGAAACAGCTCTGCATCTCCAAGGTCAAACTCCCAGCTGAGCAGGCAGTCTGTGAGCCCCCTGTAAGTGTGGTAGTGCCACAGAGGTGACAAGAGTTCAGCCTTCCCACTTTATGTTTTCTTCCTCCCCTTCCTGTATGACTTCTCCATGCAATTGTTCTTGCTCAGATGCTGGCAGGGCCACCAGAGGCCTGTGCTATGGGGCTCTGTGTGTATCAGCACCTGCACTGAAGTGGGGAGCCCCTTTTTTAACTGCTGGCAGGAGAGAGTAGGAGGATAAGAGCTCTGCAGAGCCTGTGCTGCCTTTCCTATGTTGATAGGGATCTATTCTGAGCGGGGCTGGGTACTGCCATCCTGCACACTGCGGTGGTGGTGGTCCCCAGTGCCCTTGGGGTGTCTGGGCCTGGCAAGGAATGGCTGCAGGCAGATAGAGCACTGTCCTCTTGCATGAAACCTGACTTCTTCAACAAATCATAAATTCCAGGAGATCTGTCTCAGAAGGTCCCCAGTTGTGCATCTGTGTGTTTAGTTGAAGGACTTGCATTTACTGAGTCAGTGGGTGGTTCAGTGGAGACCTTWGAATCAGAATGGGTTGAGTTGGAAGGGACCTTAAAGATCATCTTGTTCCACCCCCTGCCATGGGCAGGGACTCCTTCCACCATCCCAGGCTGCTCCAAGCCCTGTCCAGCCTGGCCTTGGGCACTGCCAGGGATCCAGGGGCAGCCACAGCTTCTCTGGGCACCCTGTGCCAGGGCCTCCCCACCCTCACAAGGGAGAATTTCTTCTGTGTATATTCCATATGGCCAGAACTTGCCTTTCTCTAGCTGAGCATTCACACAACATGCCATATGTAAAACACAGGCTTCTCAAGWGCTAAAAATCTTAAATACATTCCTGCCATCAGCCAGATGATGCTGTAAAATTTTGGATTATAGTTGCTAAATGTAGGACTCGGTTTGAAGATGAAAAAAACATCAGACTCACCACACTTCACCATGTATTTCATCTAATGATGTATCTGGGGTGTTCAGGGAGCTGAAAATTGGATTTTCCTTTCAGAAGAAACCTTGCTGTTAGAGCAGAGATTGCACATGAACAATCGCAGCAGTGCTGGTGCCAGCTATTTTCACCACCAGATCTTAAAAAAATATGTATTTGGGGAGKGGGTTTGATTTGGTGGAGTTAGAGCTATGGAGGTGAGTTCTGCAGTACTGTTTTCATAAGAGTGAGGTTTTTTATTGTAGTTGTATTTCTTTTTCAGTTGAATTTGGACAAGGGAGCCYGTGTGAGATGCCCAGGGCTGACAGCTCTTGCTTATGTCAGATGGGCACCATTGGGAAGATGCTGCTGGCAGAACTCGGATGCCAGGAATTTACAGGCTCGCTTTTGAYGCAGAGAGTGCTCAATAGCGTGCGAGTGGGCATTCCTTAAATGCCCTGTCTAAAATACATCATTGGCTGGGCTTTTGTGCCAGAGCAGAGGACAGAGCAGTCTGAGTGCTGCTCTAGCCCACTGAGTATAGCTGTGGGCACTCCAGACTATTTTCAGATGCAGGGAGACACAAAGCAATTGCCTGCCCTTGAGAGACTGCTYGAGGCCTTGGCTGGAGATGCATTGAGAGGAGGCACATTGTCCTGTAGAAACAAGGACATGATTTGTTTCCCATTGAATACAAGGTCCTCTTAAAATCTGAAGCCTGAGGTTTCCCCTGCTGGTGGTAGAGGAGCTGTTTTGCAGTCACGCAAATGAATGGAAAGGACTTTGAAAGCCCCCTGAATAACCTCACAGAAGTTTTAACTTCTGTTTGACTTCGCTCTGTGCTTCTCCTGCAGTGCGCTATGTGTTCTGGTCTTGAGGATGATTCTGAGTACATTCCTTGGCCTGATTGTCCCTCCGAAATCCTGCCAAGGTGGAGGACCTGGTGTATTTGGGATGTGCCTCTCATGTGCAGGGAGAGCAGGAATGTCCGAGCAGTGCCTCACACCAGGTGGCTCAGGGCAGCTCCCGTCTGCTGGAGACAGCTCTGCCTGGAGGGGTCACAGGGCTGCTGCCCTCAGAACTCACAGCTTGGCAGAGCTGGCTGCCACTCCCCTGGGCTGCTYAGCCCTCAAATAGCACACAGGGCCATGGGCAGCCTGTGCTAGACTTTCCTCCTGATGCGYTCCTCTCTTAGTCAAGGCTGTAATTAGATCCTCCACTGAGGCAGAGCACAAAGGGACATCCTTCCTCCCTGCCCTGCTTTGTTGGGCTGGGGGCTTGCTTGTGCAGGGCCTGCTTGTGGTACCCAAGTGAACCTTCAGGTGAGGGATTAGTGGGCTGGGATGCTCTAACTTGCATTTAGAAGCATTTTAATTGTCTTTTAAGTTCCATAGCAAGGCTCATGGCTGAGGGGARRGCTGCACATGCAGTGATCCTGCACATCTGGACACAAGCAGGTTAGCACAGCACCAGCCTTGATGTAGGTACACAAAGGAAAACCTGGATGGYGAGGAAAGGCACTCAGTGTGCAGCCAGACACAGCAGAAAGCAGATGCTCTTCCTTTGAGCTGGATCAGTTACAGCTGCTCAGCCCAGAACTGAAATCAGCTCCTGGATCTTTGACCTCAAGCAACAGAATGAAAAAGGAAACTCTGATTTCCTGGTTTCCCTTTCCTAGCTGAGAGTCCTACTATAAGGGATCTTGACTCGTGGTTTCACATGTTATTTAGCTCAAAGTGATGCTTCTGGCTGTGATGGGAAAAGGAGAGGAAACTGCTGGRATGTCAAGGCTGAGCCGCCTGCCTTGGGCACTGGTTCACATTCCCACACTTTGCTTTTGCTTTGTATTCTKGTGTCTCTCCCATTTGCATTTAGATGGGGCCAAACTTACTTAAAGGATCAAGCAGGGAATTGCCCTTCCAGGAGCCAGTGATGTGGATATTCCCTGTCCTGTGTCAGTGCAGATCCATGGACCCAATGGTTGCACTGTGGAAGCCAGGAGTATAACTGGTACCAAGAGGGATAAGTTGAGTGTGTAAGCAGCAGATCCACAAACGATGATCAAGGTGTAACCACCAGTTCTGGAACCCCTGTTCTACATGGGTGCTTGAAATATGCTTTTCATTTGGCTGCACAGACTAAGGGGACACTTTTCCAGAAGGACTGTCAGCTGAGAGTGATGTGATACCCCTATTATTTTACGGATCACTGGAATTTCTGTGCTGGCTGCCTTGGGGAGACCTGGGAAGATGTCTCTGTCCTTCGAGAGTAGGAGATTGCTCCTTCTCCAAGTGTGAAATTGTATCAAATTCCTTATTCCTGATCCATTGGGAGTGCCAGCACATTTGCATGGCTGAAGTATTGTGCCACATTAAAATGAGCTGGTTTTYACTTGGGTAGCAAACCATTTCCCTGGAGATGTGACATTCCTGTCCCATCTTTGGGTACAGCTCTTCTTCCCATCAGTGTCTGGGCTGCAGGAGCCTGGAGCTGCTTCATGGAGGACCACAGGGAGGATAAGGCAGAGCAGGCATGACACTGAACACACATACAGGGGTGTATTTATATATGACCTTGGAAAATAAGACAGCCCTTGGCATCCCATCCCAGCCCATCAGATATCAGGTATTTGGGGGCTGGGTGTTGCTGCTCATTGGCCCATGTTCCATGCAGAGATATCTGCAGGCGTAAGCACCCAGGAACAAGGCAGCCATGCCATGAATCCCAGAGTGCTCCTGAGCTTGTGCACTCTTGGCTTTGGTTTTGTTGGATTYTTCTTGCCTCTCTGAAAGTGACAGTAATTCCATTTCACACAGTCAGTTGGTTTTGGGAGTGATGTACACAGGGGTTGTATAATTCAACAAGATTGGACTGAACTTTCCTGCTATTGGAGAACTTTAGTCCAGAACTGGATTTCCAGAATTTGATTACTCTATGCTCGGAAGGGCAGGTGAGGACATATTTGTTGGCCAGAGCTGTTTTCAGTGTCACTCTTACCTTGTACWGCCTGTAGAGTAACAAATTTTATCTTGCTTTTCCAGGGAAGGGAATGAACCTGGAGATTACACGAAAATCACGTACAGTGAGCTGCTGCAAAAAGTCTGCCAGTTTGCCAAYGTCCTCCGCAGCCAAGGTACACAGCTGAGGCAACAGGAGCACGGGATACTGGGAAGGCATTTGGGCAAGGGTTTGGAGATTGGGGTCACTTCTTGAGTGGTTGCCAGCCTGTTGAGTAATTCTCATCAATTTGCTCTGCAATACCCAGATTGATCCTTGGCTCTGTCTGTRAAAAACTGCTCAGTACTGATCGTATCAGCTGTATAGGGAGAAAATCTGTGCTTAAAAATTCCTGCTTTGGGGCTTTCCAACAAGCAGTGGGTGCTGGTTACTTTTCTGCTTCCTTCTGGGAGGCAGATGAGAACATGGAGTGTTCATTGCCATCATCTCTCAAGAGCCATAGTGCTTGAAAGGCAGAACCCAAGGCTGCTTCATCTCTAACTCCACCTGAGGCTTTATTGTGTGCCTATCAAAGTGGAATTAAAATAATCAGTTGATTTCTATATCCTGTTCTTTTGCCACGTGACATGCTCATTTTGACAAATGCTGTGTTCACTTTCCCTCCSTAGGGGTGAAAAAAGGAGACCGGGTTTCCATCTACCTGCCAATGATCCTGGAGCTGGTCATAGCCATGCTTGCCTGTGCCAGGATTGGAGCTCTGCACTCTGTTGTGGTAGGAACGAGCTCTTTGTGCTGCTCTTGGGGCTGAGCTCCGAGGGGAGCAGCTCTTGGTTTTGGGAGAGGAGCTGGAATGAGATAGAAASTAAAGGTTTCTGCTGTTTACTTGCATTAACTGTGCAGTGAGCTTCTCCAGCTCTCTCCACGAGGGCCTGGTGGTGAATCATTTGCTTTGGGTGARCTGCACAGCAGCTGTTGGGGTTTGGGGCTGGGTTTCTGTGTGTCCTTGCTGACTCTGCTGTGTGTTCWCTCTGCCAGTTTGCAGGTTTCTCTGCAGACTCCCTTTGCGAGCGGATCCTTGACTGCGGTTGCTCTCTCCTCATCACGGCAGGTAAAACACACRTCTGAGCATCTCCACTGCTGTTGCCTGAAAGGTCTTTATTTGGAAATCCTGGAAGTGGGAGAGGCAGAGGCAGTGCCTCAGCTGAGCCTCCCYATGTGGATGCAGTGCTGTAGCTGTKCTACTTGGAACATGTGGTGAAGCCTCTGAGCAGCRCCCCAGTTTGTCCTGTAAAGCTTGATGTCACCAGCTGCTAATAGCATGTTTCCAAACACTTGTCATCCATGTTCCTCCTCAAAATCAGTCAGATGTTTGCAAGATGTSTCATGAGGCAGGCCTAATATAAGAATTCCCACCCTTCCCAGTTTTAAGGGCATTTCTGCTGCAGCTCCCATCCTTGTAAAGCRAAGAATCAAGAATGTGGCAGTGGCTGCATGTAAGCCCACTGCGTTTTCTCAGCTGTTTCTCCAGTAGTGCAAGCAATATTTTATTAATATTTTATTATTTTATCAATTATTTTATTATTTAATTCCTATGGCATGAAAAGGGTCCAGTAAACTGCAATCCATGTTAAGATGCATTGGATTATTTTCCACAGAATATTCCCAAGAGATTTGTCAGGTCAAATTGGGACCTCTCCCAGAGAAGAAATTCCACCGTTTCCTTTGGCATCTGTTTCTCTAGGCCAAAAGAGTGCATTAGGAAAGTTTTCCCATCAGCTGCTTGTCTGCTTTCCCTCACTGCAGTGCAGTTGCTCTGCTCTTCCCTCCCTCCTGAAACTGCTTGTTGCTCCAGCTGTCCCWGGCTTCCTTGTGTGGGAGGCCCCTCTGACTTTCCCTCACCATTTCRCAGATGCCTTTTATCGAGGGGACAAACTGGTCAACTTGAAGCAGATTGCAGATGAAGCCATCCGGAAATGTAAAGACAAGTAAGTTTGGATTCCCTTGTAGAAGAGGGGCATTGCTGCCAGAATCTGCTCCTGCACAAATGGGAGTTGTCACAGGTGGGCAGACTCTGCAGCAGGTCTGACACAAACAGTCATCAGATGTTACAGAAAGGGAAATAATCGTGGTGAAATGACTTTGCCAAGCTTACAGACACAGCATCTGTGTAGCTTGTGTGAGAYTGAATGTGGGTTTGTGTGTTAGATCAAACACGGAAATTCAGGGCAGCCTGCACGTTGGAAATTCAAATTCTTTAAAAGCCTTTAATTTAACRACATACATTTATATATAGGTCTGTAAAAATAGGTACCTGGGAGGACAGAAGTGATCCTGAAGCTGGGAATTAACCAGTGGAGACTGTGTTGATATTCTGACAGGGCTGGAGGGAAAGAAGATCATTCTGTCAGCAGTTTGTAGGCTGTGTTTGCCCTCMTGAGGGGGCAAACACCCACTCTCTTTCTTGATGTATAATCARGCTTTGGAAGCTTTTCCTCCCTCGRAGACAGTCATTCCTAGGGRTTGGAGCAGCCATTTATATTTCCTGGTGGGAAGTTTTGTTCATGGTCACAGGCAGGCAAATTGGGGAGTTGAAAGGAATCTGCAYAGCAGCATCCTGGGAGAGAGACTTGTGGGAGCCCTGCTTTCTCACTGATAAATCCCCAGGGAGCTGTGCACAGACTGTTCCTGCTCTCTGAGCTCTGTTCCTGTGGCTGGTGTCTTTGGAAGTTCATGGTGTGTCTGGACCTTGCATGGCAAATGTTCCAGCTCAACAAAAGTGGCTCCAGGCCCCTGCTCTGCCTCCAGTGAATCCCAGGMAGGGCTGGCTCAGCCCCAGAGCTGCCCTGCCTGACAGCTCCTGCCTTTTACAGGGGATGCTCTTTGAAAAAGTGCATCGTGGTGAAGCACCTGGGCAGGGAAGAGATAGCAGTGGATGGGACCTCCAGCAAGTCTCCCCCTCTGAAAAGGCTGTGCCAGGATGTGCAGGTACGTTCCTGGCGGAATGATAGGGAGGTTTTATTTCCATTGGCCTGAGACCAGCAAATCCATCMGTGCAGAACCACTACAGTGATTCCCTGGATGCTCCTGTTTCGACTCCTTTTCCTATTTTCTCCCCTCCTTGCTGATATTGTGATGTGAGCGATCAAAAAATGGTTCTTTTCCCTTACCAAGAKCCTCTCCCTGCTCCTTCCTTTAACACCCTCACAAGCTGCCAGTCCACAGGACTACAGGCACATCTTCCAAAGCCACTAGGACAAGATGCCCATTTCCCTCAGTCTGGTAAAGGAGTTTTACTTTCTAACCCTTTCTGTCTCTCCCCTTTTGTGCAAAGACCAGTGCTGTGCAGCACCRTAGCTGTGACAGTGGCAGCAGGAGAGGAAACCCAGGAGATTGGTGTTTGTGGTGTGGGCTCAGTGCAGCTCCCTGACATGGCAGCAATCTCTGCTGAGAGCAGTGCAGGGGGTGTGCTGCTGGCACAGGGACTCTGTCAGCTCCCAGGCTGGGGCTTTCCCTYGCATCTGAAAGGAGATAAAAGGATGTGGACTGCAGGCATGTGGTGAGTTGGAGGTGGAAGGAGGACAAGGTGTGATGGAGCTGTGGCTGCCTGCTGAGCCCCTGAGGCTGCTGTGCAGCCCTGCTGTGCCCAGCCTTTACCTGCTGCCTTCACCTGCTGCAAAGGCAGGTTACTTTCAGCTACCCCACAGCTCTGTGTCTTGTAATGGTGTCTTCTGTACCTGGTGATTATTTTGGTGTTYGATGATTATTTTCACTGAGTTATCCCCAGGCTACTGCAGGGATTGAATTTGGGGAGTATTTGTGCTTTACACTCTGCTTTCAGGGGGAGTGGTCTGTGCACAACCCTGGAACAAGAAGTCTTGCAGATTCTTTACCTTTGAGTTATTTTTCCTCATTCAGCTGTGTTAATTTTATTGGGTTTTTTCTCAGTCTGTACCAGCCTGTCCATGTTCCTTGGCCTGCTCTGTGAGTCAGGGTGGATGCAAAGGAATGGGAAAACTGGGACAGAGCAGCTTTCCTGTGTGAGGTTTCCCTGTCTGGGTGATGGCAGGGCAGCCTGTCCTGTGCTGGTTCCTGTRGTGAGGTGAGGTTTTTGTGCAGGAGCATAGGCTGGAGGGTGTCTCTTACCATTTGGGTCTCTCTGCTCTACTTGTTTGGACRCTTCCTTAAAGATTCTTTCCCTTGTGGATCATTTTTACTGTGCCATTGGCTTGTGTGAGGCTATTGGATGGTCCATGGGCTATCTGCTGGCCCTGTGCCCCTCTTYCCAGCCAGCCATGTGCAGGGGTGGCCTTGGTGACCTGCCCTGGAGGCAGGTGCTACCCAGGGAAGGTGGTGGAAATGGGCAGGCTTCTGTTTAAAGGGCATCTCCTGGCCTGGCCCTGCATCTGAGCATTTTCCAGCCTGCCAGGTGATTTCCCAGCATCTGAGCCTGTGGGCTTCCAGCTCCCTGCCCGCAAAGCCCAGCGTGGATCCTTCACTTCCCCAATTTCACAGCCTCTTTGTGGATTTTTAACAGGAAAAAAAGACTGAGAGCTCAAAGAGACTCCATCCCAAGGTATTTACACACAGCACTGCYTTCCTCTTCTTGGCACCTCCCTCCCCTCTGCTTCCCATGCAGCTCTCCACCTCCCTAACTGCTCTGGCTGCACGGCCACTCGTGCCCTCCTAACCGGGGTGCCAGCAGCTGCATGTCAGTGACAGTCCCCACCCAGCTTGCCAGGGCTGCCCACGCCGTGGGGGTGAATGCAGTGCCACCAGTGCTCCCAAAACCAGAGCCACATCCATGACCCTCCTGGGCACAGGCCAGCGTGCTGCCGGGGGAATGCAGAGCCACTGGGGTGCAGTGTCAGCATCCAGCTAGGGTTTGTCTCTCTGCCTCTCAAAAGCAGTTCTCACAATGCATTTCCCTTTGTGGGGAGCCTGGCAGGGGTCACTTGCAGCTTCCTGGCCCCAGGGAGCAAACCTGGAGCTCCAGACCCAGCATGTGGCTTCTGCCTGCCTCATCCAAAGAGCTGTAACTGCTGGACCCCCAGAGCAGGCAGGCAGACACACAGTGCCATGGCTCTGCCCTCCTCCCTGGGGCACTGGAGATTGGGTGCTAAATCAGGGATCCTTGAAGGAGGGATGCAAGGGACACCTGCTGGATGGCCTTGGGCTCATTTACCTGGTGCCTTGGTGGGAGCTTGCTGGTGGGACAGAACTGTGGAATCTGCTTTCCCAGGTAAAGCCAGAAGCCCTGGGAGTCCAGGAAAGCTTTCCAAGTGGGCACAGTTGTGCCAAGCTGTTAAGCAGCTAGTGTCCCCTGTACCATGTGTACAGGAGCTGTGTGCTGGGCTGTGGGGTCCTGGYGCCTCCAGATGTCACATCTTTAGGGCTGCAGAGTCACTGTGTGACCCCCGTAGCTGCTCTCTGTGCGCCCCAGCTGAGGGAGCTCAGKGAGTCTGGCTTTGTGAGAAGGAAATGTGCAGGGCTCTGGGTCAGTCCCTGCCCTCACAGAGATGTGGGAAGTGTAGGTCTGAGCTGAGGCTGGGCATGTTCCCTGCTCAGCTTCCCCCAGGCTTCTCTGAGGAAAGGTGAGAAGGTCAGGGCAAGTTAAGTATTGCTCTAAACTGTGCCACCACCCAGAGAGGTGCAGCCAGAACAACCCTCAGGGTGACCTCTGYCCATCAACCACCGGCATTGGTGGCTCTGCCACAGCTCTGGCATCTTCAGGGAGCCAGTGCTGGGTGGCTCTGCACTGGAGTAGTCACATCTTACCAGGGTAATTACCTAAAAACACAGAGGACAGATATTTCGGGGTGCCTGTAGGGCCAAGCAGTGTGAGCCCACCATGCTGCTGTTTGTCTGGGGCCGTGCTGCAGTCGGGGTCCCTTGCAGTGGGACAGGTGGCTGTGGGACAGTGCTGTGTGGCTGTGCTTGCTGCTTGGCTGTGGGACTGCAGCTCGGGGCAGCCCCAAAAGGCAAGAGGGGCCTGTTGGTGGGGACAGCCCAGAGCAGCTGCTGCTGCAGGGCCTCTCYRGGCTGCTGCTGCTGCTGCCCACAGGGATTCATCGCCATTACCTGTGGTCTGGACACTCTGCTTCAGGTCTTGCAGCCAGGCCGTGTTTAAAGGTTTTCCTCATGGCTGTGGGCTGTGAAAAGGAGCTTCTGGAGTGGGAGCTGCAGCTCTGGTGCATGGTTTGCAGCAGGCTGTGCTGTGAAGATCCCCCATGATGGCCCATGAGGGGGGTGAGGTTTGAGCTGTGCTCCTCATCACCCCTCTCTTGTTTTTGGACAAGCCTRTTTCCAACCTTGTGCTTTCCTCAGGCCCCCTGGAACCCAGCCATGGACATGTGGTGGCACGAGCTGATGGGTGGTGCCAGCAAGGAGTGTGAGCCCGAGTGGTGCGACGCTGAGGACGAGCTCTTCATCCTCTACACGAGTGGCTCCACTGGAAAACCCAAGGTGTGCTCTCAGCACGGGACAGGCTGAGCCACAGGAACCCCTCAGCTGAGGGAACTGCTGAGGGGGAGGCTCCAGTAGGAGGAGGAGCCACAGAGGTCTTGGGGAAGGGGCCATGCTGGTCATTCCTGCTCAGATGCTGTTGGAGCTCAGCGATGCTCAGCTGGGTCTGGCAGGGTGAGGGTGATGGAAGGAGCTCACCCTGACATTCCTGTGCCTTCTCCTCGCAGGGTGTGCTGCACACCGTGGGTGGGTACATGATTTTTGCTGCCACCTCCTTTAAATACGTGTTTGATTACCAACCTGAGGATGTGTACTGGTGCACGGCCGACATCGGGTGGATAACGGGCCACTCCTACCTCACCTAYGGACCCCTGGCAAACGGGGCCACCAGCGTGTTGGTAAGTGCTGGGTGCCTGGGGGTGCTTTCACTCCAGGAAAAGGGAGATGGTGGTGCTGAGCTGCACCCCTGCATTGCTCTGTGTCAGAGTGCAGTGCCCTGGGCATTGTGAGGAAGGGTGGTGCTTTCCACCCTGACTGCTCGGGGGGGCTAGTTTGTGTGTGGCTTCTGGTTGGTTAATTTTTCAATTTCTCCCRTTTCTTTCCCTTAAAAGTACAACTCTTGTGTAGCAATGGAGCCAGGGCTGCTCTGAGTTAATGGAAACATTGGATCAGGGAATGGTGTTCCCTGATGCTGATTTGACAACTTGTCATTTAACTCCTGTGCCTGTATCTCTCTTGGCACTGTAACAGATCAGGGAGTCAGAGACCTGTGCCCAAGAATCCCCAGGGAAAAGAAAGCAGGAAAATCACTCTTATGTTTGGGGAGGCCTTTAGGGGGTTCTTGGTACTTCAGGTTGTGGTTCTGTCACAGTGTTTGGACCTCTTGCCCTTTTCCATGRGGGCAGGGTCATTTGGGTTGGTGGGACTGTGGCACTAGAGTGGCCACCYAAGTGCCCAGGCTGCAAGGGGGTGTCAGGGGACATGTGCTAGGACATCTGGGGTGGTCTGATKCCAAATCCATCCCAAGGAGGCAGTAAGGGGTGTCCTTGACCTGGGCTGGTTTCACCCTGTGGTACCCCATAAGGACATACTGGGATCCAGCTGCTGTTTGGCTCCTCCTGCTTGGGCAGGKGCTGCAGGTGGGGAGCACTGAGGAGCAGCTGTGTCACTGCTCTGTCTCCTGCTCAGTTTGAAGGTGTCCCCACCTACCCYGATGTTGGGAGAATGTGGAGCATCATTGACAAGTACAAGGTGACCAAGTTCTACACAGCACCCACAGCCATCCGGCTGCTGATGAAGTAYGGGGAGGAGCCTGTCAAAAAGTGAGTGCCAGTCCCAGGGGCATGAGGGCATTGGCTGTGCACAGCTGGGTCGAGTGGGAGATGCCAAAATGACCCAGGTCTCCTCTCTTCCCCTGTGGAAGAGTGCTGAGAAAGCTGTGAGCTGTGCCTGGAAAGCCCATTTTGGGAAGCCTGGGAGTTCCTGCAGGATCTGCTGTGCAGCAGGCTCACAGCTGCTGCTCTCCATGGCCTGCTGAGCCCCTGGCAGCCCCCTCCTCTCTGCAGGTACAGCAGGAAGTCCCTGAAGGTGCTGGGGACCGTGGGAGAGCCCATCAACCCCGAGGCCTGGCTGTGGTACTACCGTGTGGTGGGAGAGGAGAGGTGTCCCATTGTGGACACGTTCTGGCAGACAGAGACGGTGAGTCCTCGCTGGTGTCCCTTTCCCTGGCTGTCCCTTGTGCTCCCTGCAGGGCCTCTTTGTAGGTTTACCATGGTGAGATTTTGGGTCTGTGGACACTGTTTGGCCTGCCCAGGAAACTCTGGTGTGCCCTTTCCCCTCTTCCTGTCCTGCAGGAAGATTCTGCCCAGGAAGAATCTGTGATTCTGCTCAGGCTCCCAGGGGAAACCTTCCTGTCCAAAGGGTCTCTTCCAAACTCTGCTCTGGACACTGCTCTCCTGCCCCTCTTTCCCTCTCCCAGCAGCTCCAGAGCTTCATGCCCAAACAGACTCSTCATCCCCTGCTATATCCTTCCCCTCTCCACAGCTGCTCTGAGCAGCCCTGACTGGGATGTGCTGCTCCCAGAGCTATGGCACAGCTGTGGGATGGACTGGCATGGCCCAAACTTACTTGGTTTTGCCTCTCTTCGCAGGGAGGCCACATGCTGACACCCCTCCCCGCTGCCACCCCCATGAAGCCAGGCTCTGCCGTGAGTACTTGTGTTCTSCTCCCCAGGAGCCTCAGCAGGGCCCTGTCTGTGCCAAGGCTGTGTGGCTACAGCCTTCCAGGGGGTGGGAGAACAGTAGTGCATTTGGGGAGGTGACCACCACCCAAAACGCCAGGCCTGGCCCTGTGCAGCTGCCCCATGTACCACAGCTCTGCAAAGCTGCCCTTGCCCTGCCTGCCACTCCCTCTGCTTCACAGGGCTCTAATGCAGGAGCTCACCTCCATCTCTCCTTTTCCCCTGGTCCTCATGGCAGACATTCCCCTTTTTTGGAGTGGTTCCTGCCATCCTGAGCGAGTCGGGGGAAGAGCTGGAAGGAGAAGCAGAAGGCTACCTGGTAAGGAAGGGCTGATYTTCCCCACCCTCCCTTTGTCCATTCCCTGTGAACTGTGGGACATTCCTGGTAGCATGCACACACCTTGTGGCATGGAAGGGGTAGAGTYACCATCCCTGGAATTGTTWAAAAAAATGTGTGGGTGTGGCACTTGAAGGCATAGTTTATGATTGATGGCTGGACTTAATGATMTTAAAGGTTTTTTCCAGACTTCAAAAAAATGTGGTCCACACAAGGAACTCCCTTGGGTGGTGGGACCTCCCTCCAAGGCCATAACTTTTGGGGTGCTTTTMCAGCTGATCACTAAATGCACATGTGGGCAAGGCAGGAGGATGRGAGCAACTCCTCAGCCAAGCTCCTCCTCCCTTGCCAAGCCTGGTGAGACTTTGCTGGTGCTCAGYGCTGCCAGCAAGGGTCTGAGTGCTGCTCATGGCTGTCTCTGACACGCCTCTCACTGTGGTGCAGCCCTGGGTTACTGGTTTGGCTCTCACTGCCCCAGCTCTGTGTTTTTCACCCCCAGGTGTTTAAGCAGCCCTGGCCAGGGATCATGCGCACGCTCTACGGGAAGCACCAGCAGTTTGAAACCGTTTACTTCAAGAAGTTCCCGGGGTACTACGTGACAGGAGATGGTAAGGGGGTCCAGGCTGCTGTGGTCACAAGAGCCTGGGGACAGCAGTTGTAATCTTGCTCTGTCCTGCCCTCAGAATCCCTTATCAGTTGCTTGGAGGGCTGGCACTGCTGCTTCACACTCACTTCTGGCTATTTTTAGGTTGCAGGAGAGATAAAGATGGTTATTACTGGATCACAGGRCGAATTGATGACATGTTGAATGTTTCTGGTAAGAAGGAGTTTTGTCTTCAGTGGGGACCAATGTGCTTTCTGACACCTTGCTTTGTGACACTTCTGCATCCATTTCAAAAGCCACCTGGTTTATGGGGGATGGTTCTGCATCCATGATTCTGCCCAGCAACCTGTCCTCAAAGTGGATCGAGTTGCTGGGTCGGGGTTATTTCAGGGACAGACAAGACTGTGACTTGGTGACTTTCTGCACCATTTCTTCTGGAGACAGTGCCCTGGAGGGAAGGAATCTTCTGTAAGCAGCCAGGGCAGGACCATGGAGCTCCTATTCCCACCTGCTGTTCCATGGAAGGCTTATCTCTAAGCTGGATCAGGCTGGATYAAGCTGCTCAGAGCTCTGAACATTCTCCCACCTCTCCTGACTGAGTCTTTGAAGATTCAGCTGCTTCTCAGCCCATCATTTTCCATATATTCTATTTAATAGTTCCCTCCCTCCTTTCCTGGAGCCTGTAACCTCCAGGTACATCCTGCTGGCTCTGAGGTGCTGCTGTCCTTGTCTATGGATCAGATTAGATCCTTTCACCTCAGCAGCAGTGCCTGATTCTCCACCAGCTGATCATTCTGGAAGTTGGCCACCTTCCTGTGGCTTTCTGAGACACCAGGGTGGGATGTCAGAGYGCAGGTGCAGGAGCAGAGGTGTGCAGGAGTGAGTTGTGCCCCTGCCCCAAGATGTGGAGTGTCATTCCCCCTCCCCATGGCAATGAGTTGGAGCTGGACTCTGCAGATCCAGCCTCTTCCTCTGCACTGTCCAGCTGATCATGTAGCCAGGTCTCCTCTCACCAAATCCAGCTCCTCCTCAGCCAGTGCTTTGGGGGAACTCTGAACTGTCCATGATCTGTTCYAGAAAGGAACCTAAAGGTGGGAGGGGAACAGCCAGGGGAGGTGACTTCTGTAGGTGAGCAACACCTGGCAGCTTTCAGAGCACTGTGAAATGAGTCTCTCTCTCTCCAGCTGTTCTTCCCCAGGCACATTAAATTGATGTTCTCAGACCTGTAGTTTAGGGCCTTAGGTACCCTCAGGCCTCTTCSTGCAGGTGTGTAAAGCTCTGCCTCCCCTTTGCTCCCAGGCCACTTGCTGAGCACGGCGGAGGTGGAGTCAGCCCTGCTGGAGCACGAGGCGGTGGCCGAGGCCGCCGTGGTCAGCCACCCCCACCCCCTGAAGGGCGAGTGCCTCTACTGCTTTGTGACCCTCAGAGAGGGCCACGAGTTCACCAAGAACCTCACGGATGAGCTGAAAAAACAAGGTAACAACAGCCAAGGACTGGGGAGCAGGCAGGGGGAAGACAGGTGATGGAGGAGTTAAGGGCTTGGGTGCTTGCAGGAGGTGCCTGTGGTCTGGGGAATGCAGTCTGGACAACTGCCACAAGGTGCCCCTTGATCAGACAGCGTGGCTGACAAAGACTAAAATTAGTTCTCCTGGCCTTTGACTGCTCATGTGATGCCATCTCTGCCCCATGGGAGCTGGCAGCCCTGTCAAGGACTGGGTACTCAGCAGGCTTTTGTTGGCAGCAGCCCCTCCAGTGCAGGGCTCTCCCTGGCAGACTGGGACATCCTGGGAGGATCACTGGGATGCCCTGGGTGTTGGTGCTCCACTCTCAAGGAGCTGTTTCACTGCAAACTGCAGCATTTAATACACAAAACAGACCCCTGGCAGCTGCTTCTTTTGGAGGAACCCGATGGTGAATCAGTCCTTGCTCTATCAAAATGTCATGGTGATGGTTCTAGCCATTAGGGAGGGCTCTGGAAGATGGAGGGAATGAAAACAATGAGTGCTCTTGTTCTTGCTCTTGGGGAGATGTGTTTATGGTCCTGTTGGCATTGCACACCTTTCTGTTCCCYCTCACCATGTGCAGCAGCCCCAGGCACTCCCTGCCAGGTGCCGCAGGAGCTGGGCTCTGTGTGCCTTAACTTTCCATCCTGACTGGAAAGGATGTGTGGTACCTCCTCATCCCTACAATGAAAATATCTTTTTTTCACAGTCAGAGAAAAAATCGGGCCAATAGCAACACCTGATTACATCCAGTATGCCCCCAGCCTGCCCAAAACCCGCTCAGGTGAGCTCCAGGGATGGTGTTGGGGAGGACTGGGCACTTGCTGCTGGTGGAAGTTGATGAGCCCTGCACTGCTTGTCCAGGGCTGCTCAGATTAGGGGAGGTGCAAGCTCAGGGCAAGCAGGATGTGCAGGTCTGGTACCTCACACTTCTCCAAGAATGCTGAAGAGATCCTGACTCCTGGGGAAAAGGGACTTTGCATATGGACAGATAATGAAGGACAAGGGATGATGGTTTTATAGTGGTGGAGGGCAGGTGTAGACTAAATAGACATAAGGAAGGAATTGTTCCCTGTGAGGGTGGGGAGGCCCTGGCACAGGGTGCCCAGAGAAGCTGTGGCTGYCCCTGGATCCCTGGCAGTGYCCAAGGCCAGGCTTGGAGCACCCTGRGATAGCAGAAGGTGTCCCTGCCCATGGCARAGRGGTGGAAAGAGATAATCTTTAAGGTCCCTTTCMACCCAAGCCCTTCAGGGATTCTGATTGCTGCTTCCTTGTAATGGCTGTYATTACAGGAAAGATCACCAGACGGATATTAAGGAAGATTGCCAAAAACGACCAAGATCTGGGGGACATCTCCACCTTGGCAGACCCAGGCATCATCAAACAACTTTTCAACAGCAGATGTGACACTAAGCAGTAGCAGCAGGACCTGTTCCTGCTGAGCAGAACTGTGGCAGTGGCACCTGATGAGCAGGTCCCTCCAACAGCCACTGCCTGCCTGGGAAGGAAACCTTCAYCTGTTGAATTGAATGTACCAATCGTAGGAACGAGGAGAGCCTGCCTCTGGAGAGGTGTCTGTCATGTTCCAGATGGATGTCACACATCTGAGGGGCACTCTAGTGCACACAGGAACTCATTGTCCTCCCTTTGCAGCACCTCGTTCTTGATTTTAATTTAATTTTTTTTGAGGGGGGGGGGAAAGGTGTTAATTAACCTTCTGTCCTGGAGGGGCCCTGGCACATTGTGCACAGTGGGAAGGAGCTTTGGGGGTTGGAGGGGAAGTGGTGCTGGAGTTACTCAATGCAGGCAGGCCTGGGAGGTGCATCCACCACTGCCTGCAGAGCAGCTGAGCTCCCTTCTGTCCCTGGAGTGCTGCAGGAGCACTGCAGCAGCCACACGGTCCCTGCACAGCTGAGCTTGGCCTGCATCCCCTGTCCTGCTCTTAGCACTGGCCCTGGAGCCTCCAACGAGTGGGGCAAGGCCCCAGGGAGCTCTGGGCTCTAAACAGTTTTTTTTTTTTTTTTTGGCAATCTGATACCAAGATTTTCTGCTCCCTCACTGTTGTGCCAGCTGGTGCATTATCCCCTGTCCAGGGTCCTTCACCGGCCATGGACACTACAGGGAACCAGAAAGGGAAAAAGCTTTGGTGTGACGTGTTCCATGGAGCCTGGGTTCCTCCAGCCCTGCTGCCACCAGCTCACAGCTGAACCAGAGCTGGAGCACCTGGATGCTCCCTTTGTGTCCTGGGGGAGGACTGGGGGCTGTTACACCCAAAGGTGGGGGAAACAAGGGAGGCTGAGGCACCTCTCCCATGGCAGGTGTCCCATGACCACTGCTACAGCTGAGAAACCAGGACAGGCAGGGCTGTGGGAGTCCTACACATTTCCTCATCAGGAAAGAATGGTGGGAGATGTTTAAAAGTTAGTGTTAGCTTACATCTGACCTGGCTTAAGGATGATGAGAGCTAAAGGCCCCCAAACCTCTTGCCCAAGACCAGGGTCCTGCCAAAGCCATCCTTCCTCCAGTGAAGGACATAAAACTCCAGCCAGGGCTGAGCTGGGGCTGATACCTCCTTTGCAATGTCTGTATGAAAACTGCATGTGAACTGTTTGATTTTGCACTTAAACCAAAGGAGAACTGGGCTTTAAAACTTGCTGCAACAGCTGTTCTGGGGAGTGCCAGTGGACAGGCATTACCTGCAACCTGAGCTGATGTGGGGCTGGAAAGGAAGAGCAGCTGCCTCTGGGCTGGGGTGCTCAGGGCAGGTGTTGGGGTGCTCTCCTGGGCTGTTGGCCAAGTCCCAAATCTCATTTGCTACCTGCTGCTCTCACTGGCACAGCACCTGTGTCACCTGTAACCTTGGTGCCTGCCTGTGTCCCATGTGTCCCCACAGCTCTGTACCACTCGATTGTGCCACCTTGGTGACAAGGATTCCTACATCATCGTTCCTCCTCTTACTCTTTGTCAGCTATGTAATTTTGGCTGGAAAACAGCGAGAATTTAATGCAAAATGGAATAAAATTAAAACAGAACAGAAGCAGGCTTGGAGTGTGTGTGGGTGATAGGTGCTTGTGTGCTGTTGAGTCCAGGGTGCTCAGTGCAGTTGGAGTGGCTGTGCCATAAACCAGGATTGGCTTTTGGGATGGGGAGGGGCAGGTTCCTGACAGCAGCATGTTTTTCCATGGATTGGGATTTACTGTGCTGGGGCAAGGGTGAAGTGCTGGTTYCAGGGCTGCAGCCTGTGCCTCAATTTCTCTCTGGTCTCCAGCCAGTGCTGCTCTACGCTCATGGAAAGCACAAGACAGTGTGACACCCACGTGTCACCAACCCCCTCATGCAGCACCAGTGCCAGGGTGATGGGTGAGCAGCTGAGGAGACTCGGGGCTGGCAGCACAGCTCAGGGCTCCTCACCTCCACCCCAGGCCTGGTGTCCTCCTAGGCACAGCCACCTGAACACCTGGCCAGGTGTGCCCCTGGGCTCTGACAAACCTGCCACAAACAGCACGGTCAGATTGCACATTCCTTTTAATCTCTGGTTTGGGGTAATCAAGCCCCCGACAAAACACCCAGGAATCCCAGTTTCAGTCACACTTGCAGAAYGGAGCAGTTTCCCAGGTGACCAATTGGTGATTGATGCCATAGCAGCAAAGAGCCGTCAGGGTGATCACTCAGCACCTCCATTCTTCAGGAATTCTGCCTTTGTGCTGGTTCTGTGTAAGTGACGGGTGGACTGAGGCTGTCCGGGCTATTCACTGCCAGAAAGGTGCAGCTTTTAGGGCTGAGGAGGAAAAGGGGCTGGAGGAAGAGGCAGAAGACCTTGARCAGGAGGGCCCACACTCCACGTCCCTCCACTGCTGTGCTGTTCCCACTGATCCATGAAGCCTGGAAGGCGACACACCTCCCCATCTGCTGGTGCTGGTCCCCGAGGAAGGTGTTTGGAGCTGAGGCTGTGCCTGCCCAGCCCCTCCTGCAATTCCTTTCCTTCCTCACCAGAGCTCCCATCTCACACAATTTCCAAGGTCAGGGAGATGCTCAGTGTTTGACTTGCTGTGGGATGCACTGGTACAAACCCAAGGGGATTTGGAATTTATCAACACACACAAGGCTCCAATTCACCACCACCTTGGGAGCTGCCTCCATCACTGAGGRATTCTTATACCAGCCTTTGGATTTGTTGGATGGGGCTGTGGGAAGCAGCAGCAGAAGGCACAGCCCTGAACCCTCCACTGCTGCCTGCCCTGTGTGGCACAGAGGCACTGTTTGAGAAGAGCACTCAGCTCAACAAAACAGGAATTGGGCACAGCAAAAGCAGGCAAAAGAGCCTCGGGCAGATTACCCAAGGACAGCTGTGCCTTGGGCAGGAACCCTGAGGATCCTCAGGCACAGGGGAAAACGGGAATCAGGACAGCAGCAGCAYGGGAAGGAGGGCTGGAGGGGCCATGGTGCGTGGAGCTGGGCTCTCCTCTACCCTGRAGAGCACTGAGGCACTGATGAAGATGAAGGCTGGTACTTGCCCATCCACCTTTCTCTTCCCATTCCTTAGGCTTTGTACRTCTCCAGAAACAATGCAGCATCAAGGAGCTCAGAAGTGGGAGCAGCACGAAGGCCTGATGTGGCACATTCACCCTKGGCTGTATGTACCCCTGTCCCCAGCCAGGCTCCAAGGGAACACCCAGACCCCGGCAGTCCTGGGAGTCCCAGCTGGGCCATGCACAGGGCAGGGCCCCCTGAGCAGGCAGAGCAAGGGAATCCCTTCTTCCTGGAGGGGGAATCACAAGAAGAAGCTGGGGCTGGCACCCAGGACCTTKGAGCAGTTGTATCCACACAGCCCCTCCTCACAGCCTCCATCACATCAGACCGGGGCAAGCGCACCCTAAGGAGAAATCCCTGTGGCACATCAGCTCTTCAGGCAGCAGAGAGGAGGGTGGGGACACGGCTGGTCACACCAGGTATGGTGTGTCCAGCACGGCCACCCCGGCTGCCACGCCGCCGTCCGCGTGCTCGATGGCCTTGGTGCGCAGGAGGTGACCGGCAGCCTGGTTCAGCACCAGCTCCTGGCCCTGCCTGCAAAGRGAAGGGAAACTGAGCCCCTGCAGAGCACACAGCTTGTGCCATTTCTCTGGGGCAGCGGGAGTCACCGGCCCTGTCACCCCACAGAGCAGGGCAGAGCCCCAGGGCTAAGGTGGGRGCTCTGCACTGGTGGCTCCATTGGCTGTTCTGCACCCGGGCAGTGCCAGGGGCTCTCCACTGCCAGAGCATCTCTGTTCCCAAAACCGTGTGAGGACTTTCATTCATACCCTGTGAAGGCTTTAAAAAGCAGCCACGATTTAGGGTTGAACACAACCACATTAGACCTTCAGGTATTTCAGAGATCATCAGGGCTTCAGAAAAGCCACACATGTGGCTGCATCCAGAACCCACCAAGTGCTCCCACAAGTCAGGGATGAGACACATCAATCCCAAGATCCCAGTTACACCAGGAACTGGCAGCATGAGCCCTTTGGTTTCCAAGAGCTCATCTGGCAGCAGGTTCAGCACAGCAGCTCAGCACACGTGTTCAGAGCTGCTGCCAGGGGCACAGCCTGAACTGTCACATCTATCCCCTGCACCTGCACATTTCCAGACATCTGTCCCACGGCTGTGCTTGGGCAGCACAGWGAGCAAAACGCTCCTGATCCGTGTCAGGAGAAGGGAACTGCCCTGGAGCACAAGCACGGTCCTCACCTGACATAGACACCAAAGATGCCGAGCTCAGAGATGCACTCGGACACTCGGAGGGGACTGTGAGCCCTCAGCAAGTAGTTCAGTGCTGGCTGGGGTTTGATTTTATCCATCAAGATGTAGGAGGTTCTCTCAGGGCTRTCTTTGATCTTCTCCAGAACCTGCCTGAGCTCTTCACCGTAGAGGTTGTTCCCTGGCAAACAAACCCAGCACATCAAGCCCTTCCCAGGACAGCAGAAGCCACTGGTCCCAGTTATTGGCCTTGGCAGTGCAAATAACCCAGCCTTTGCCTCCCCAAGTGCTGCCCGGGCTCTCCACACCAGCACTGGGGCCTTGGGAGCTCCTCCCAACACTGCCTTAGTGCCAGGACTTGTCCCCATGGCTATGAAGAGCCACAAGCCACCCCACCCTTTGCTCCTCAGCACAGGACCAGGAGCTGGCACGGAACTTCTGCCTGTCCTGGACACAGCACAAAACCACAGTAAAACCCCCAGGGGCCCAGCCCAGCTTGTACCTCCACCTTCACGCTGAGGCTTCAGCACGAAGCGGTCRGGGTCAGCGATGGCTGTGGCAGTTATCCTGTCACCCTCTTCACCCTGGCAGGAAAGCATGGAAGCAGSTTGGACAGCAGGAAGGATTTCTGCATGGAAAGGGTGGTTTTGCACTGGWATGAGCTGGATGGAGTCACCATCCCTGGAGGTGTTCAAGGAACRAYTGKACRTGGCACTCAGTGCCRTGGTCTCGTTGATAATGTGRTGTTTGGCCAAAGGTTGGACTMAGTGATCTCMRAGGGCTTTTCCACCCTCAGTGATTCCATGAACAGCAAAGCATCACAGAGCGCAGGGGCTCCYTGGGAGATCCCTCTGTGCAGGATCAACAAATTCCCCAAGGCCCACAACAAAGCCCTCTCTTCTTCTTACCCAAAGAGCACAGCAGGTTTGCATGTCCCTTCCTGCTGCAGCCCTGCTCCCACTCACCTCRTCCAGGGAGTAGAGTCCAGCAAAGGTGGCTCTGATCCGAGCCACGGCCTCAGGCTGGCCGGGCAGCAGTTTCTCCAGTGTCCCTGGCCGGCTGAGCTCCTGCTGCACCTTCTTGGTGCCCGCCAGCTGCGTGGCAATGTCAGGGCACTTCACTGCCCGGGACCTCTCCAGCAGCAGCCGCGCCTCCCAGTTCTGAGGCAGCGAGGGAGCAACCACCCCGTGAGGAAAAAAAAAACACACACACAAAAGGTTTGCTCTGCTCTTTTCTGTGCAGTTACCGACATATGGTTTGTCTCCTCCCTGCCTGCTGGCAGGGACGGGGGTGGGAGTAGCACTCTGGGGAGAAGCAGGCAGGGATTTCCCTTTCCCACCACCTCTGGGAACAGCACAATCGGATTAATCCACTGTGCGCTCCCTCCTCAGCTTGTCCAGTGCTGCCACCTCGAGACACCAGCAAGATCTGCTCTGTACTATTATTACCTGCAGCCTGATAGTGCTGAGAGCACAGAGTGATCTGCAGATCAAATCTGAAGRCTTTAAGCAGGCGCTCATGCCTGTGTTGACCCCTACTGTACAGAAGGAATTCAGTGCTGCACTAAGGGATCAGCCCTGAGTGGTGATTGGAGAAGAAAGTCCCCAATTTGTACTGGAGGATGACCCATGTACTCTCTGGAGTCCCAGCTTCCCAATGCCCGCAGCCACACCGGACTGGCCCCACCCCAGACAGGCCAGGTGCCCCTGGGATCATCCCAAATCGCTGGGCAGTGCCCCAGCCCGTGTTTTTTGGGGCAGGGAGGTGGTACTGACCTGCTGGTCGTAGGTCTGGGGCACGTAGCCCTCTCTGTAATACACCACTGCGACCTCCTGGCCGTCCCTGCAATGGAAACCAGAGGTGCTCAGAGAGCCAGGACGGGCCCTGCCCCATCCCCAGCACCAAGGGGGAGATCACAGCCCTCTGCCCCTTCTCCTTGGCCTCTGGGCTKCCTGCTCCTGCCTGGCTCTGCCACAGCAAGTGGCTCCTCTCCACTGAACCCCAGCTTGGCCTCCCCAAGACATAGAGAGCTGACATCCAGCCTCTGCTCTAACCAAAGGCTCAATAAATCTGACACCCAGCCCAACAGAGCTAAGAACCKCATTTTTAAAAGCTTTTACCCCACCCAGGCCTGGGAGACTCAGACTGGARAAAAGGAGGCTCAGGGGGAACCTCTCACTCTCCACAAATCCCTGACAGGAGGGTGCAACCAGGTGGGAATCAGGCTCTGCTCCCAGGGGACAAGGGGCAGAACAAGGAAATGGCTTCAAGTTGCACCAGGGCAGGTTTAGATTGGAGATTAGGRAAAATCTCTTCACTGAAAGGGCTGTCAAACACTAGGACAGGTGGCTCAAGGCAGAGGTGGAGTCACCRTTCCTGGAGGGATTTAAAGGGCGTGTGGAAAAGGCACTTGGGGACGTGGTTTTAGGGGTGCTGTGTTAAAGGGGTGCTGCGATCTCAGAGGTCTTTTCCAACCTTAAAAACCCTCTGATCCTATGGTTCTCAAAGCTGGAGGGAACAGRGTTCTTGTCCTGTGGCAATTCAAGGCAGGACATCAGTTCAACAACCTGAGAGGCACCAAACCATCCTGCCAGGACGCTGGCAGCACAGCTGTAACACCACATGCCCAACTTTGGCCACAAAACTGCGCTCATGTTCAGAGAGCTGCTAGCAGCAGGCAGGGAAAGGCAGAGGCATCCAGCAGTGACAGGGGAGGATGCTCAGGAGGAAGCACAGGGGATACACTTTCCCCTCAGCGGTCCAGCCATGACAAATGTATTGGTTAATTAAACACAGCACAGACACCAAAGGTCAAACCACGGAAAGATCAGCCTAACTACAGAAAAATCATTGGTGTGAAACCACGTCTGCTTTTAGGTTTGTACAGCTCCAGGCACATTACCTGGAAATAGGACAAACTTCACGCTTGGGACCAGCTGGGAGTCTGTGACCCACCCGTCCTGCTCTCCATAGGGAGCAGGCAAGACACTGAGTGAGTTCAAACCCAASAGATCCCCAAAGGACATGGAATGCTTCCTCCTCCAGCATTAACAGCCCAGCCCAGCTCCCACCACAGAGCATCATGTGAACAATAAACAGGAAATGGCTCTGTGGAAGCCTCTGAAATGGCCAGGGCTGTTCAAGCACATCTTTGTGGAGGAGCTAAAATCCCACAGAGCAATGAAGGCAGTGGTCTGAAGGAGGAAGATTACAACTGCAGCTGTAAGAGACTGATGTGTGTCTGCAAAATCTCCTCAGTGTGAACACAAAATCATTTCAGCTCCAAGAGGAAGCAGCAGCCTGGTGCATGGAAGAGAACTTCTCAGGCAGTCACTACTTACACTCAGCTTTGGCTGYAAATCCCCACTCCCAGCCCCGTGAGCCCAGGAGACGGCAGGAATGCGCACCTTGGCTCATACTCACATATACAGCCTCCTGGAGCCATCCAGAGAGCCCTGCTCAAACACATCCCGGAACCTCCTCCTGATCACACGGATATTCCTGTCGGGAGGAATGGACAGTCACAGGCTGAGCAGAGCTACTGCAGATGGAAATCACGGGTGGAATCAGTGGCTGTGGCAAGGAGGATCTGTAGGTTCCTTCACAAATAACCTCAGGCTTTGTACACTGGAGCCAGAGGAATCCCACAGCCCAAAAAACTCCCTGTTTAGGAACCCATCCTAAGCAGTTTGCTCAGCTTCACTTTCCCAAAATTAAACCATCTCCTTCCTTTCCCATCCCAGGGAAATTCAACCTTTACCTGTTCCAAAGYTCATTTTCAACACATCGCTGATCAAAGATGTTCCTCTGGATGTCCTCCACCAGAAACATCACCACAGCCCTGGAGGAGACACCAAGGACATCACTAAACCACATAAACAATCCACATGCTCCTAGCTGGATCACCAGCCTTCCATCTCTGTGATTCAGGCTTCCTGCACTGCTCCTGTTYATTTCTCTCCTCCATCCTTACCTTTGGGAACCGTAGAGCTCCCAGGCTTTGGCAATTCCCAAGGCCAGCCCCTTTGCTGGGTTGTTGGGCAGCAGGTGTGACGCCTCCTCATTCTTCCCCAGCACTTTCAACACCAGCCTGTGGAACACAAAAGCCATAAATGCCCTGTCCATGCCCAGCTGGATGAAGGAACAGCACAGGGGCCATGCAGTGCAGCTGCTGCAGAGCCAGAGGAGCTCCTCACCTGTGGACGTCAGCGGTGCGGGAGGTGAGCCCCCCGAAGCTGGCAGCAATGGTGTTTATTTCTATCTGCCTCAGAGCTCCTGTGCCATCCAGCCCGCAGTCAAACATGTAATCCGAACGGTTGATGCCCAAAAACACAGTCTGGAACATAGGGAGGGGAGCTGGGTTCTCCTGTTGCCATTAACTGTAAAACCTTGGATCACCCTTCCATTAGACCAGTTTGCTCCAGGCCCCATCCAACCCRGYCTTGGACACTTGCAGGGATGGGGCAGCCATACCSCYRGGCAGCCTGTGCCAGGGCCTCCCCACCTGCACAGTAAATTTCCTAATCTCTCATCTAAACCTATTCTGTGTCTGTCTGAAGCCGTTCCCGCTTGTCCTTCACCCTCAGTGTGATAAAAACCACTGCAGGTCACGCTCTGCCCCCTGCCCAGGGCCCACAGCTCTCTCAGTGCTCCAGAGGAGCTCCCAACACTCCTGAGAGTGAAGAGCTTCTGTAGGGATGGCCTGTTCGGTGCAGGTCCTGACAGGACACACGTCCCAGGGGACAAAAACCASATTAAATCCTCCCTCTCCAGGCCAGGCTGTTTCCAGCAGCACAAACTAAGGAGCCTGACTGTTCAAAAGGGCAAGGTCCTGAGCTCTGACAAGACATCCCAGCACAGGGAGTGACCAGCCTGGCCAAGGGATAGCTCAGAGTCCACAGTGCCAGAGCTTGGAGCCAGAGCCCAGGCACTCCCACCTCAATGCCAAGGGGCACAGAGCACTGGGATCCCCTGCCAAGGTACCTGTGCCAAGCCTTCCTCCAAAACTTGCATGTAGATTCGGAAGAGTCGAGCTGTGAAGTCATCTACCTTGATGGTGCTGGAGAGAAACACAGACCAGGTCAGCTCCCTGATGCTCTCAGAGGAACAAGAAAATGAATTCTTCTTCAGAAAAAAAGAAATCTTAGCAGAGGCATTCTCCAGCACAAAGAGCAGGGATGGGGCTCAACCAAAACACCTCCCCATGAATGGACAGTGCAAAACCACAACATAAACCCAGTTTGCCCAGCAAAGCCATCCCACAAAAGGCCCTGCTGTGCAGAGGTGACTCACTAGGAAGGCAGAGATGGGACAAGTAAAGGCAAAGAAACACAGCAGAATTCGGCAGATTCAGGGAAGAACCCACAGGTCTCTCTGTGMCTGCACACACAGCCCAGAGAAGCTCCAAAAGCTTCATCCAAGCCTCCTGTCCTGTCAGGCTAAAAATCCCACACACTGCCCTGCTGGGTAGTAGGTCTGGCTTTTCCTCAGGGTCCCAAATCCCTGAGCAGCACCTCCAGGGCGCTGCCCTGACACAGGACAGGCACCTGAGCACACAAAAACCCCAGGTGATGCATTCTTTAACCACAGGTACAAGCATATCCCTGCAAGCTCTGGCTGCAGCCAGCTCTGGAACAGCTCCAAGAGGTCAGGCTTTAACAAAACAAAGGGATGCTGGAAAACAGCCTCCTCTGCTCTGTCCCAGTGCTAGAACCAGCAGCACATGCACAGGCAGCACAGAATGGGCAGCGGGAAGAGAAGAGGGATTTGTGGAAGCATCAGCCCTACAATTATGATCAGCAAAGTCAGGGATGGTAACTCCAGCCYGGGGCAACAGCCACAGATAAATTCAGCGGAGTCCAGGAGCCAGAGCTGCACAGTCCCCCTGTACCCAGAGCTTGTGGCTGGAAAGTGAGGACAAGGAGTGATAGATAAACGGTGTGGGAAGAGAACAGACACTTCCTTTTCACCACTGCTGCAGCAGTCACTGGACAGACACAGGCAGATGTAGAATAAGACTAAGAGAGGCTCTTAAACCCAGTACTCAAATACTCCAGCAATTTGTATTTAAGACCCAGGGGCCAAGCTCACAAGTATGAATTCACAAGCCTGAAACAGTGGCAAAGCTGAAGGTCATTGCAGGGAATCAGGTTTTGGCCAGATATCCCGTTTTCAGAGGCCCAAGGAGACCACAGAAAGGTAGGAATGCCTGAAAGATGGTAAAAGCTTTAAATATAAAGTATTTCATTAAAATACAACATGCAAAACCATTACCTGGCCAGAGTTTGCGCTAGAAATTCTTTGTTTTGACTGATGGCATCCACCAGCAGGTTAAAATCCTGCTGGACAGCGTAGGCTTGTTCAAACAAGGGCCGTGGCACTGCGGACGGGAGCAGTGTGAAGGGAGCGTAATTCACCACCTGCAAGCAGGGATGCAACAGGTCTGGGCAGCTGCAGAGRAGCCACAAAGATGCTTCCTCTGCTTGTCTGAAGGCTGAAACTACCCCCACCCTTCCTGAGCAGACACATGGCCTCAACCCTGGTGATCCCTGACTTTGGAGGGCTCTGCTCTATGAACCATCCACGGGGCACAGCTGCTCCAGAGTCAGGCTGGGCTGGCTGCTTCCACCTGAATGGGAGAGCACTGACCCCAGAACATTTCAGAGAAAAAGTGGATTTTTACATCAATCAAGAGACACTGACACTTATGCTTGACCTCTCCTCCCAGGCTCCCTCTTCCTCTTACCCTTTGAGAAGCCTCAGAGCCCTGACCTCACATCCAGGAGCAGTGCTGTGGTGAAGGTCTCCCTTCTCACACTTCTGTCTTGCCCCCTCAGGGACCCATCCCCAAAGGTGTCCCACCCCTCCTACACTATTTCTTCCTCTGAGATCCCTCACAGCATCCTGCTCCAACAGGCTGATCCCTCCCACCCCAGCCAGCCACCAGGGATTGCCCAGAGGTAAATCCCACACATCAGCCATCTCCACCCCCATCACCTTCTCCCAGATATGGGGCAAAGGCTGACTGTAGCTGGGAACATGCCAAAAGCAGAGGCCCCTCCGTGAGACTCTCCTCTGGTTCAAAGGTTCATATGAGTGGTGGAGGCTGGGAGAGGGATGAACTCCCAGCACCACAACTGGCAACTCCCGAAACCTCCCCAGCTCGGCCGTGCCCCAGCCGAGAGCTGCTCCYTGCCAAGGGCTCAGGGACCCCCGGCACGGCAGCGGCCGCTCCCCGCGCTGCGCACTCACATCCGAGGCGTTCGGCTGCTCCCCGGTCCGCATCAGCACCCCCGCCAGCAGCGCCGCGTCCACCGCCACCGCCGCCGCCTCCCGCACGGCCGCCGCGTCCCGCACCACGTCCTGCCAGGGSGCGGCCATGGCAGCGCTGCGGGCACAGCAGGGCAACGGGGTCACCCTGCTATCGTCACAGCCCCGACCCCAGACCCCGGCCCCGCATCCAGACCCCGGCCCCGCACCC